TGAACAACAGAAATATATTTATTATAAAATATGACAAGTACACTGAAGCAAAAACAATATAGGAAATTCCATATGATACTTTATTATTTGAGGCTATCTAAAATAAAAACTTAAAGGTCAAAAAAAAACCTATTCAACTCAAATATAAAATAACTGATACAAAATTTATTAATGGCTATGCTTTGTTCCCAGGATAAAAGAGAAATTCTTGGGGGGGCCCCCCACAGGTAGGGGTGTCTCCAAGCAATGTCACAAGGGCCACACCCAACAGTGCTCAGACTTTCGGGGTTACACCCAGCCATTCTGGGGGAGGAGGGGTTAACTAATCCCATGCATGCCAAGTATGTGCCCTAATCTTTGTAATATATCCCAGCCCAAAAGAGAAATTCTTTGACAGCATTTATAAACTTTATTTACTAGCGCTCAACTCCCTACTTAATCATGCTTTTAAAATTTTTTATACTTTACTCAGTTGCTATTCCCATGTTCCATCCCTTATTTTTTCCTTTTAAATAATCACTTTTCCCTTTCACTTACCCTCACCACTGATGTCTATTGCCAGGGTATCTCTCTAGTGTAATCTTTACACTAGCTGGTCACAATCTCTTCCATCAAACAGACACTGGTGGAGGGTCTGGTAGTGCAATGTTTTATGAAAAAACTCTACCTGTTGCGCTCACAGGAATCGCTCCTGGTGGTGCTCAGGGGACAATATGGGATGCCAGGGATTGAACATAGGTGGGCCCGTATTCAATGCAAATGCGCTATCCACTGTACTATTGTTCTGGTCCCCTGAAGCCCTGGCATTAACAGAACTTAAATCACAATCGCTAAAATGAAAATTCTTTAAAAACTTCCTTCCTTCCCAGAATAGTTCATTTAAAACAAATATGTGGCTAGAGAGATAGTATAGTAGACAGGGTGCTTGCCTCATATGAGGCCAAGCCAATTCAATCCCTGGCAACCTATAAGGTCCCCTGATCCCTTCCAGGAATGATAACTGAATGCAGAGCTAGGAAGGGGCGGGGGTGGGGGGGGGTCCGCGGGGAGTATCTCACTGATACTCCCAGTTTGCTAAGGAAAAGATAATTTAGTTAATTCTGACAAAGAAGACAAGAGGTAGAGTTTACTGCATAATTTCTTTTGGTTTGGGCCCCAGATCTTCCTAGAGTTTAAATATACACTATGGGGAGCCTGTGAGTGATAAAACTTTAAACTCTGGAAAATAAGGCTTAAGATTTGTTTTTTTTTTTTCCTTTTTGGGTCACACCCAGCAATGCTCTGGGGTTACTCCTGGCTCTGCACTCAGGAATTACTCCTGGCAGTGCTCAGGGGACCATATGGGATGCTGGGAATTGAACCGTGGTCGGCCGTATGCAAGGCAAACGCCCTAACTGCTGTACTATCACTCCAGCCCCAAGATTTGTTTTTCAAAGATTTATGGACTCTTAGCTTTTGGCAATTTCCTACTTAGAATTATTGTGGAAGCAAATTTGTCTTTGGGTCACATCTAGTGGTGCTCAGGGGTTACTTCTGGCTCTGCACTCAGAAATCACTCTTGGCGGTGCCTGGAAGACTGTATGGGATGATGGGGATGAAACTCAGGTTGGCCTGAGTTGTATCATCAAGGCAAACACCCTACTCATTTGTATTACTGCTATCGCCCTCAAATATACTTTTGAGGCCAGGGTTCAATCCCCCAGCACCATTCAAAAATAATCTATTTTAAGCACTTTTATATTAGATGATGGGAAAATGACCTTGAATGAGCTGACATTGCTCCCAAAGAAACTATACTTTATTTGGAAACACACACACACACACACACACACACACACCCTCATTTTCTAATCATTATACCTTGATCACATCTGTGAATGGAGGTAAACATGTTAGACTCCCAGGTAAACTTCCTGGAAATATGGCAGATCATTTTGAAAATGACAGTGGGTTATTCCTAGAGGAAGGGATGTCTACAGAAGAGAAACCAAGTCGTTATTTCTTATAACTTCTTTTATATATTTTTATGCTGTGTAAAAACCTTACTTTTTTTCCCTTTTAGAAACTCTGCAGTAGGGCCTGTGCAATAGGCAGTGAGTTTGCCTTGCACAGGACCAACCTGGGTTCAATTGCTGGCACCCATATGGTTCCCTGAGCCCGCCAGGAGTGATCCTTGGGCACAGAGCCAGGAGTAAGCCCTGAGCACTGCTGGATGTGCCTCTTCCCCTTCCAAAAATATTAAAAATAAAAAACACTACTGGAAGGTGTCAATGGTACACTCACTGGAAAGGAAAAATTGTGGAAGTGGTCACCGGATGTTTCATCAGCAAGTCCACATCCCACCTCTCAGACTGACAGCCAACTACTGTATAACAATAACCAGAAGGAGGCTTTTACTGGCAGAAAGAATGGCCTTAAGATTAATAAGTACACAATTACCATATTTCACTGCATAATCACCACAAATGTATAATAGTTGCAACCTGAATTTGTATGACTCAAGTAATGATTAGTTACATGATACAGGTCTGTTTGATAAACAGAACAGCAACAGATCCACCACTAGCCTATGAACGTGCATATCTTTTCTGGACTATACAAAGTTTGTTTAAAGAGCTGAATTAGGGGCTGGAGCAATAGCACAGCAGGTAGGGCATTTGCCTTGCACGCAGCTGACCCGAGTTCGATTCCCAACGTTCATATGGTGCCCCAAGCACTGCCAGTAGTAATTTCTGAGTGCATGAGCCAGGAGTAACCCCTGTGCATCCCAAAGGTGTGACCCAAAAAAAATAAATAAATAAACAAATAAATAAGAGGTTAATTACTAATGGAGTACAAATGAAATCAGCAGGAAGGTGAAATCACCACCACACATGACAGAGTCAGACTCCCATCTTCTCACACCAAACTGTACTCTGCATCTGCCAGCAATATATTTAAACAGCTAGCTCTGTTCCTTTTACATAGTTTGAGGCAACATAGTGAACAAAATGAAGCACCTTCTCCATAAAAATAAGTAAAAAGTAGGTTATTCAGTGGCCTAACATCTGTCTTGCAGTCACTAGATCTATGTGAAAACAACCCTTTAAAGACCACTTGCACAGTTTCTATGAATAGGTGATGAACAGTGATCACCAATGGAAAACCAGTGGATATATTAAACTCCATCCTTGAACTGTTATGCACAGGCGTAATCTAATAGTTAGGACCTAATAATAACATGAAATAGTCATCAAATAAGTTCTAGAGAGGTTTTCAATCAGCCAAATGAACATTATGAAATGGTTCAAAAAATTTTTTTGCAGGAGGGTTTACACACAGCAATGCTCAGGGGTTCCTCCTGGCTCTGCTCTCAGGAATTACTCCTTATGATGCATGGGGGACCATATGGGATGCTAGGGATCGGACTCAGGTTGGCCGCGTGCAAGGCAAGTTGCAGCCCTACCCACTGTACTATCACTCCAGCCCCCAAATTATGAAATAATTAAATTGAATTTATTTACTTTTCAACAATTCCTGCACCCCCTTCCCACCCCCACTCCACGTTTTTAAGTCATACCTAGTGGTATTTAGGGATTACTCCTGGCACAGCTCAGAAGATCATATAGGATACTGGGTATCAAACCTGGATTGGACATGTGCAAGGAAGGTGCCTTATCCATGTACTATCTCACCAATCCCAGTTTTCAACTACTATTAATGCAAATATATCAACAGAATTTGCAAAAAGTTTTGACTGGCAATAGTTGTGGTAAAACAGAATTTTTTCCAGATCATAGTGAATTGCGTAGGCCATATACCAATATGCTCTGGTACAGAAACAGCTCTGAATTTTATTTTCTATCAGCTGTTTATGTGGAGGAAAGAAATAACTAAATAATCAAACAAACCCCTGAGCACAGCCGGGAGTGGCCCAACCCTTACCCTCACCAAGGATCACAACAGAATAATTTATTTTAATATTCTATAGAACACCAATCTATATCATCTGTCCCTGCTATCCACCAGTTGTTTGAATGATCTCTGCATTCTCCCTGCCCATTCCTTTTATAAAAACTATGAAAAATCTTTCAATTACGCATCAGAAATCATAAACCATCTTACAATATTAAATAACAATAAAACTAAGTTGGTTCACAAACACTTGACTGCTAGTCCATTTTGATTTCAATTGCAGCCCATCTTAGGGTGTATAATTTTTTTCTTTTATTCTCACTTTTCCTTAAACGCATACACACATACTATTTTACTACACACTTATCTCTTGGAATCTAAAAGTGGATTACATAACACATAAAAATTCTACATTTCAGGCCTGGGATCTAACTCGGTAGCAGAGCACAGGTGTTGCATGTATGAGCGCCTAGGCTCAATCCCTAGTTCCAGCCACCATTGCTCAGTGTGATCTCCCAACATAGGAGAGAATTGGAAAGGAAAAGAGGAGAAAATAGAGGAAAATCTACCGTTTTCTAGTGCTCTACAGGATATATCCTGTTATCCAGCTATACATCATCAGCTTAACTGATACTTATTTTACATGTTAATACTTTTATAAAATGGGTAAAAGGAGTAACCATTAGTTTATTTTAAAATCAGAGCACACTGTTTTTGACCAGTATTTTGTGGATATCCAATTGGTGACTCTCTAAACTGACAACCTTTCAAGTTTCTTCCCATCTGTGGAAGATAGTGATGTGTTTAAGTCTTGAATGAATTAAAGTGTCCTACATGTGAACTATTTTTAATAAGACTGTTAAATCTCAAGAGAAACAAATTTAAGAAGTTTCAAGAAAGCAACAAATTTCATCTAAGTGCTAGAATTCTTTCAAGAACACAACAGGCCAATACATGATCATTTAGTGCCAATGATATGAAACACACCTTTTCACCTCTTTCCAAAATTGTTTCACTTCAAAATATTTTAACAAATAGTTGTCAAAATAGTTAACACTTTGATTAATTTAAGAAGTTCTGCTTAATGTCATTTCTGTTATACTTACTAAAGTGTATCTGGAGGTCCAATGATAAGGACTTCCCATCGGTAGAGATCATTGTCATCTATTAAACCTGCTGAAAAGCCTTCGACTGGATTTTTGTTGAGTTCTGTGAAAAAAGAAAAATTTGATTAGAACATTTAGACACTTTATTTTCACCCAACAGTTATATTACAAAACTTAGTTATATGTGTTATAAATTCTAAACTACTAAATGGATCTACTAGCAAAATGGATCAGGTAGTAAAATGTTGCCTACAGCTCAAAACCTCTTCAACTTCTACAACACAAGGAAGTGAGGTGGGAAGCAAATTATTGGGAAGTTCAACTAGTGCTCTCAAATTTTCTTAGACCTTAATTCTATTTTTTTTTTTTTTTGCTTTTTGGATCACACCTGGTGATGCACAGGGGTTACTCCTGGCTCATGCACTCAGGAATTACTCCTGATGGTGCTCAGGGGACCATATGGGATGCTGGGAATTGAACCGGGGTCGGCCGCATGCAAGGCAAAATGCTCTACGCATTGTGCTATCGCTCCAGCCCCTTAGACTTTATTTCTCTACAGAGAGAATACTTGGACACAGTTGGACAATTTAAGAAATAAGAGAACACAAGCAGAAGATTAGAGAAGTGAAGGTACACATGGCCAGCCGACTTTAGAGAAACAGAAAAGGAGTATAAACCTGCAGTTTCTGGGGCCAGAGACACAACACAGCAGGCAGTAATTTGCCCTGCCTGCAGCTAACCTGGGTTCAATCTCAGATACCACATGTGGTCCCTGGAGCATGTAAGCACTGCTGGTTGTGGCCTAAAAATAAAAACAACAACAACAAAAAATCTCCAGTTTCTAAAGACTAAGGGTTTGATGAAATAATAACCCAGTAATGATGGGTGAATTATAAAATATTTTTTTCAGGGGAGTTTTGTTTTATTTTTGGATCACACCAGGCAGTACTCAGGGTTTACTCCTGGCTCTGAGCTCAGGGATCACTTCTGATGGGGCTCGTAGGACTATCTAGGACACTGTGGATCAAACCCAGGTAGGCCACTTGCAAGTGCCCTACCCACTGTACTACTGCTTTAGCCCCAGAATTTTTTCAAGTGTTAATGAGGTATAACAGACATTCTATGAACTGCACGTATTTTAATGACATAGTTTTACAGGTATTAATAGGTGCATATATCTGTGAAGCCATCAACACAATCATGACAGTACAAAGATATGTATGTCATTAACTAGGAATTGAGTACAACTGTTCAAATTAGAAAGTGGGAGGGAGGGGAAGAATTACATATAGAAGAGCAGCTCATATAGAATTTTCTGGGTTTCTAATTCTCAGAATTGCCAAAAACCTGTTTGTAATAAAAGGCTTCCAATCCTCATATAATTTCTGGTATCATACTCAAGGAGCTCATTATAATGATGTCATTGAGGGAAAGGTAGAGCACAAGCCAAGCATATGCAAGGGTCTGATTTCCGTTCCCCATCCCCACCCCTACCCCCCACTGCTGAGAATAGTCCTAAATTCCCAGAGCACCAATAGGTATATTTTCGAAAAAGTAAATAGCAAGGTGGGGCTGGGAATGCAGTACAGTGGTATAAAGCACCGGCCTTACATTTCCTGAGGCCAAGGGTTTCATTACCAGCACCCTGCCCACGCACAAAAGCACATGGGAGCAGGGGTCAGGGGGATTCAGGTATGTCAATGGTGCAACAGTTCAACAGCCAGACCACTGAGTCAACAACACTTAAAACAAGGAATCGAAACTACAACAACCAACTTTAAAAGGGCCAAATAGAAGACAAGGGTTTGATCTGAAGAGATGCAGGTGGAGGGGGGAATGGGGGCTTGGGGAGAGGGAACCTGGGAACACTAGTGAAGAAGCTGATACTTGTGGTGGGATCAGAGCTGGAACACTGAGTCTTAAACTCAACTATGAATAACTTTGTAAAATAAGGTAATTTAATAGAATTTTAAAAAGTATTTAGGTGTAATACAACCCAGAGTGCTATAAAAGACGAACCGGGGGCCAGAGCAATAGTACAGTAAACAGTGTATTCACCTTGCAAACAGGTGACCCAGGTTCAATCCCTGGCAGCTCAAATGGTCCCCTGAACCTGAGCAGGAGTGATCCCTGAGTGTAGAGTCAGAAGTAATCCCTGAGTACTACTGGATGTGGCCCCCCCAATCAACAGGTTTTGGGCCCCATCTCCAACTGCAAGACTTGTAGAGTTTATAATCAGTATTATAGTTCAAAACAAAAAATAAAAACACCAGTTTAGTTTGTTTTATTTTTGTCTCGGGCCATACTTGGAGACACTCAGGGCTTACTCCTGGCTCTATACTCAAGAATCACTCCTAGTGGTTCTCAGGAGACCATATGGGATGCCAGGGACCAAACCCATGTCGGCCATATGCAAGGCAGGCACCTTATCCACTGTACAATCTCTTTGGCTGTGCCAACTTACTTTTAAATAGCTGTCCTAAAACACATATAAACAAATACTAGAAATGAAAAGACACTAAGATAAGAATTTCGTTTTAATAGTGTTTTTGGTTAATGCATTTACTGGATGTTAGCTGTGTTGCAGGTATAATGGTATCTTTATTTGGAGGGGGGCTAGCACACTAGCTAGTACTACTCAAGGCTTACTGCTGAGTCCCATTTTTATTGTCAGTTGAGAAAAGGATGAAATATAGTCTATAGCTATACAGGCATTTATTTTCTACAGTAAATTTACCTCATTTCCAACCTCTTTCTATACAAGAAATATTATAGTCTTCAGCTCATTTCTGGCAACACTGAAGACAAAAGGCTTGTGATTCTCTAACTTACCTAGAAATAATCTAATACATTTTTATTATAAATCCAGTAGAATTCTTAAATGTAGGTAGGTAACCACTGAAACTAGTAGATATGGTTTTTAAAAAAATCCTTTTCCTGGGGGCTGGAGCACTAGCATAGCGGGTAGGGTGTTTGCCTTGCACACGGCCGACCCGGGTTCAATTCCCAGCATCCCACATGGTCCCCTGGGCACCTCCAGGGGTAATTCCTGAGTGCAGAGTCGGGAGTAACCCCTGTGCATTGCCGGTTATGACCCAAAAAGGAAAAAAAAAAAACTCTCTTCCTTTCTCTCTGTTAACATTACTGCAATGACTAGATCAAATGTGTATCAGTTACTGTTCTTGTCAGGCAGTCACACTCCTCACTTGTGGTGCTTGTACATATTCTCCTGTAGTTCTCAAGGGCTAGGGTATGAGGGATCAAACTACTGGCTGTAGTGCTCAATGATGTTTTTTATATTTTAGTGTTTACTCAGGTGACACCCTTTTTAGCTGTATTCACACACCCGGCTTATACAGCAGTCCAAAATTACTGTGGCACAGGAGATGACAAACAGTGAAGCTGCCAGGATCAGACACTGGGGACTGCAAGGCAGGCACTAAGTCACTAAACCATCTTCCACACCCCAAACATGGTAAAAATTAACCTTTAAAAATTCCTTACACTTCCAAAAACCATAACCATTGCTTCTCACTTTTATAGCCAACACATTATAGGCTGTTAAAAATCTTTTGCATGTGTTTTCCAGGCTTTTCTTCTACAGTACCAACTGTATCCACCCCTTGTTTCAAGCAATGCAAAACCACGGAAGAATGTCCATTATCTCACTTCCGTTATAGTTTCTGTTCCTAGCACAGATACTCTTAGGGTATAGATCTTAAATAATAAATTTAGTATGTTTATCATGACAGATATGTAACATACTTTCAAAATTGTTCTCTTGAAGACCAGTTCAAATACATATTCCTCCAAGCCTTCACTAAATAATTTACTAAACAATCATCTTTGGACTCCTAAATTCCTCACAATTATATGTTTAGGATATACTTTTACTAAATTCTTTGATTTGTTTTTGGACCATACTAGCTGTGTTCAGGGCTAATTTCTGGCTTTGTGCTCAGAAACCACTCCTGCCTGGCTCCCATATGGGGCACTGGGAATCAAATCAGGTAGGCTGTGTGCCAAGTCATACGTCCTACTGGCCTACTGGTTGGATTATTTTTCTAGCCCGTACTAAACTCCTCTTTTAGTACATATCTGATAATAACTAAAGTCCCCAATTCCTATAAAATACACTGAACAATTAATCCTACAACATTCACTAAATCCAGTGCACGAAAAGAGGGGCACACTATAACAATGAAGAGACAAAAAGACTTCTGAGACATCTGATGAGAAAAAGAAATTAGGTGGGGGAAGGTGTTTCAAAATTCAGTCAGATCCTGTACAGCAAAGGACCTTTGTAAACCATTTCATTTTGGACTCTATGATGAATCTCTAAAATGATTATTTTTTTTAAAACAATGAAGGATCTTTGCTAAGGAATCATACCACAAAGAACACCCTTGAGATCTATATTCTGAGGAGTCCATGTCGATCTCAAGATATTTTATGGATTCGGTAGGGTCGAATCTGAGGTTTTTAATCTACTTTGAGTTAACGTTCTGTGTTGGTTTGGATATATGGATCGAGTCTAATCTTTTATATGTGGCTATCCAGGTTTCTCAGCTCATTTTGTTAGAGGCTTTTCTTCCTCCACTTTATGCACTGAGTTCCTTTTCACAGATCAACTGTCCATAAATCTGAGGGTTTGTTCAGGTGACTCAATTCTACTCCACTGGCCAAGAGTCTATCTTTATTCCAGTACCATAGTTTTGATTACTATAGGTTTACATAACAATTTAAAGTCAAAAAAAGTAAAATAACCCAAATGACCCGCGATATTTATTGATGAAAATGTTACAGAGCCAGAGTAATTCACCTAGTCACCTGGGTAACTCACCTCTTTTGGTGAGAGTCACTTCTTCCACCTTTGACTTATAGTGTGTTAGTCAAGAGAAAAATGAAGAAATTACAAGAGAAAAATCTCCAGCACAAGGGTATCAGTGAAAAGTCACCGTGGAGGACACTGATGCTACTAAAGACCCAGAAAGAATGGGAAATTCAGCTTTTGCCCCTAAGATTCCTTTAGGACATTCATATACAAATACTGTATGAGTAGAGATAATAGCAATAGTAAGGTGGATAGGTTGCTGATCTTAC